AGTTTTTTTTTTATGTGTTCATTCTGAGGCGTTATCCTCCTGGTTGTTTTGCTCTCGGTTGCTTTTATGGTTGCTTTTATCCTGCTGCTATCTGATGTTCACTTTTTGTGACACTTTGAGATTCACTGTGAATGTGAAGTGCATTATAAATAAAAGTTATTATTATTATTATTTATTACAAAATCCACTGTATAAACAGTCATATTAATTAACATGAAACACCCAGACACACCAAAAAAATAACAATATAATTTATATTTGATTATATTTTGAATACATTGTATCAAGTGAAGACCTACCACATGGGCTGTCATGCAACTAGGAAGCTGAAATTCACCAAGCAACTTCATCTATAGGAGCTTAAAAGACCTTGTAAATTTCAAGCATTTACCTTATTGTAGCGGGACGTTGTTAGTTTTTTTTAATTTGAAGGTCAATTTTTATTTTTTTAGCTGCCTAAAATGTATTGCATACACACCAAATTGTAATCAAAATTCCAACAAGAAAAAAGGCTGATGATTTCCTGTATGTTTCACAAAGATTTGTTCAGTGGTTCAAGTGATAATTTTTAAAAGGTACAAAGATTTATTTGGCTTAAGCTGAACATTTAGGACTGACGTGCACCAAACTTTTACCTGTTCTAGAAGCAAATGATATGATGATTTCCTGAAACCCATGTTGTTCATTTGAACTGAAACTAATTGAGCCCCATAGGCAGAGTCCCATTCACCAGACACTTGCTGATGACCCCCTCTCCCAGGCCTGGCTCCAGAGTGGGATCCCAGTAATCCACATTCAGTAATCTCCTTGATTTTGTCTGTCCAAACAATTTTTTTTTACCACAGTTGTTGATCATTTGAACAAATAAATTATTTGGATGTTTGCTAAGAAATAAATTAGCATTGGTAGCAATACAATGGCACAACTGGTAAGGCTGCTACCTCTCAGTGAGCAGGTTACCCTAGTTTAAATCCTCATCCAGGGGCCTTTCTGGGTGGAGTTTGCATGTTCACTCCATGCATGTGTGGGTTTTATCTGGGTACTCCGGTTTCTTCCCACAGACTAAAAACACATATGTTATGCTAATTGGTAACAATTATTATCCCTGTTAGTGAGTGAGTGAATGGTTGTTTGTCTTGTTTGTCTCTATGTGGCCCTATGATGGGCTTGTGACCTGTCCAGGGTGTATCCCGCCTCTTGCACAGAGATTGCTGTTTATAGGCACCAGCAACCCCACGACCCATAATGGAAGACGCGAGTAAAAGATAATGGATGGATAAAATAAATTGTCAGTGGTGTCCTGAAGTAGGTCAGCTATTGTTAGACTGACTGACTGTGGGCTGGAGAGGAAGTCAGAGGCATTGATGCTATGAATATAACAGATGGTCTGTACACAATCAGTGTTGGATTTGGACTTGTGCAATTATTTATAGATTAAAACCCTTGTGAATAAATTTACTAGCTAAATAAAAGAAATAATTAACTTTAAAAATATATACTATGATGAAGTCCAAATGCCAATGGTCAATATATTCATTCAATTGTCTAACTCTGTTCTGCTATTTTTCTCATGAAATAAATTTGACAGCTTAAATTTATCAAAATGTAGTGGGACATAAGTGATAATGTACTGTGCATCACCACTGTCATATTTTTTATTTGTATTTCTTGTTAGTTTCTTTTACTGTGTTGTAGTCCAGGTTCTCAAATGGTAAACCTAATAATGAGGTTACCTTGGTAATTAAGGCACAATTTTGTGAGAAAAGGGACTAGATGAATAAGCAAGATAAGAAACTATCCCATGACATTCCTTTAATTTAGACCATACACAATATTCCACTGGACATATATCTTTTTTGTTTGAATGTAATTTAATTTAATTGGCTTTTTTGTGGTGCTATATAAAATTTTATCAAGGTCAAGTTGTCTTTTTTGTCATTTTTTGTCATTCATTTATGGTTTTGTTATTGTTTTAAACATTTTCTTTTAGATATTTAATACATAGACAACAGCTGATTTTTCATTGTACTCATAAAGAATTAAAGCAACTATAAATCACCTGTAAAATTTGTATTTGGAATAAATTAGTAATTGGATATTCTAATGTTAATGACATGCAGCAAATGCATATTGATCAATTCAAGGAGTTCAGTTAATTTACTTTTTGTAGCATAATTACTTAAATGCACATTGCTATACAGACCATGATAGGTGGAGATATGGAAATAGGAATATATTTTAATAAACTGTAAGCAAACAAGTCCAAAAAGTTAATGTAAACCACTAGAGTATTTAGTATACAATGCTTTTGACATGTTAAAATAGTATTTGAAAATATAGTGCTGCTAATTTGCTGACACTAAGATTATAACTTTCAAAAGACAATATTTTTTATCAGTTTTTTAGAACAGTTTTCATTTTTGCTTAATCCATGTGCCCATTCATTTGTTTAAATTTTTTACATCAGGCAAAACATGGGCTACTATGTGGTCCTACTTATAGTTTAAGTTTCTATTTTATGATTCTTTATCATCAGGCATTACATAGGCCACCTATGAAGTTTAATGCAGTTCTACACACTCCCACTAGGGACAACATTGAGGTATACACAGATTTTGTGGGGAGGCGAGGGGCGAAACCATACACATACACAAAAAAACCTATTTTAGTGACTTTTTGGGACGTTTGAGATTTTTGGATTAAAATACATTTTGGAGCGTGCTGAATGCGATTATAAGGTTCTCTAATTGGGGACCGTGGTTTTGGTCCCCACTTGCCAAGGTGTCCCCAAATGACTGGTGTGTAAACGTGTTCACGACCCCAAATATAACATAAGCAAACGCACACACACACACACACACACACACACACACACACACACACACACACACACACACACACACACACACACGACTCCTTGGTAATCTAATTACTTCTGCACACTTCCTGCTAGTTCTGCCATTTTTCAATCAACCTGTTCCAGTCGACTGGAAACAATCCCATGACTTTTACTTTAGAAGATTTTATTTCTAAACTTTCTCTCGATATAAATTCATGGAAAAATCTTCAGTTCCTTCAGAAACATTCAGTAAAATCTCCTTCAGCTCCAATTTAATGCTTCTTTCAGCTGCTGTCTAGCTACTTTTAGCTTATAGCTACAGTTTAGCCAATTTTAGCTTTTATGTAAAGTGTTGCTACTTTTAGGTTTAACTATATTTTGCTAAATTTAACTTGTAGCTTTTATTTTGTTAATTTTAGCCTGTTAGCAAAATGTTTTCATATTATAATAGTAGGCCTATAAATAGCTTTAGCTATGCTATATTTAGCTTTTGTTTTGATAAATTTCAGCTTGTACTGTCACGGCTGAAACTGGGACATTTCAGCTTTCAGTTCCTTCTTTGGTAAATTTCAGCTGCCACTCAGTTAAAATGTGATTTTCTGGTTTAAACAGACGGTTCTGCTCGGTTCTATCTGGACGAGCAGAACCTCTACGGTCCCTCCAACAGGAGGAGGAGCAGCAGGACGGGCTTTGGGCCTTTCTGGACTGTGAAGTAGTTTCATGGTTCTGGGGCGGCCCGTTTGGAGCGCCACATCCAGAGACGCTAACCCGTCGTAGACCAGCTGGCTGGACGGGCAGAACCCGGGCCCAGAAGTGGAAAGTCGATCACAAAGGTGGATTCAGAAAAGACACCTGACACGATGGACACACCTTGAACTCGTACGACTCTTCGATGACCACCTCCAGGCGGCTGTGCTCCCCCAGGACGGGCTTCCCCATCTCAGCTATCCTGCGAGCCTCCTCTTCCTCAGCGCTCATCTGCCCCTCCGCTCCATCTGTGGGGGTGCAGGGGGGGGCTGAAATTAAACGTTCTTCCAGGCTTCGTGTGTGTGTGTGTCTGTGTGTGTCTGTGTGTGTGTCTGTGTGTGTCTGTGTGTGTGTGTGTGTGTGTCTGTGT